ACTCTTCCAGGGGGATGGTCATGCTGCAATCCCTTCTCCATTCTTCTCTTGGGATTTTGGGTGTGCATTCAAATGTGCCTGGCATGAGTTTCAGCCTTCCAGGTCTGGAACTCAAACCACTGTCTACCATGTGGAAGTCCAGGCTTTAACCACCAAGCCATCTCTGGCCCATCTATTATCCTCTCTTTAACACGTTACTGGGCAACCAGAATAGAAGCTACCCCAGTGCCAAATTGCTTTTCCACTGGCTCCTCGTGGCTGTGCGTGGGCTCTCTCTGCTGGGGCAATGGTTAGATCAATGATAAAATAATTTTTAAAAAGGAGATGAGGGGTCCGGTTGGTGATGTGGTAGTTAAGGGTGCTGGACTCCCACATGGCTGACTATATTTGAGTCCCAGACGTGGCAGCTTGCTTTCTCACTTGCTCTCTTTCTCTCTCATTCTATCCCTCTCTGGTCAAATAAAAATAAATAAAGTTAAATAAAATATTTTTTTTTGGAGAGGTTTTTGCTATAGGGCGCATGTGCTCACCAGAAAGACAGAGAGAGACAGAGAGACAGAAAGCGAGAAATCATCCCCCAGGGGGGATGGCCATGCTGCAATCCCTTCTCCTCCATTCCTCTCTTGGAATCTTGGGCACGCACACACATGCATCCCGTGTGAGTTTAAGCCACTGGGTCCGGGACTTGAACTGAGGTTGACTACATGGGAGTCCAGCAACATAGCCATTATGCCAACTGCTGGTCCCTAAATAAATATTTAAAAAAAGGAGATGAGGGTCAGCCCAGTAGCTTAGTGGTTCAAGAAGCTCGATCCCACGTGGTTGACCCCAGTTCAAATTCCAGCCTCTGTGGCTTGAAAAACATGCTGGCAACTGTGGGTGCCATCTTGCAATTCTTTAAATAAAGTGATCTCCTAGGGGGCCAGATGGGGTGCAGGAGTAATGCAACTGGACTCAAATGGGCAGATCGCAGGATCTCATCCTGGAGCCTCCCTCTACACTCCAGGTGTGTGTGAGCCTCCCACATCCAGACTGGCTGAGTTTGGGAGGTGGATGGGTGTGCGAAGACCCTAGTGAGTCTTCTGTCTCTCTCTCATGGAAGAAATAAATAAATAAATATGGAACCAGCAGGTAACTGGTTAAGATGGTTAAGGTGCTGAACTCCTATGTGGTTGACCATGGTTTAAGTCCTGTCCCCAGTGGCTTGAAATTCACACCAAATGCATGCCCAAAATCCCATGAGAACGGAGGAGAAGGGACTGCAGTGTGGCCATCCCCCCTGGGGTGTGGCTTCTCACTTTCTGTCTCTTTCTCTGTCTCTACAGTGAGCACATGCACCCTACAGCCAAAATCTCTGTCAAACATAAATACATAAATAAATCAACCCAGATCTCGCAGGGCTCTCGGGAAGCTCTCCCCTGCCTGGCACCACGGGAGGCACCTGGACAGGGAGGAGGAGAGCAGGTGTGGTGCGAGCTGCCCCCACCCCCCGCTTCCTGTTCCCCTAGTTTTGTCCCTGCACTGATTATTGCTTTATTACTGTTTTCAGTCAGATGTAATTCCAGCATTTTCCATAATTTTGATCTTTTCATTGATACCAGATTTTTATAAAAAGATTTGTATATAAAATGATTATGTACCCACCAGAATACATTCCCCAGCAATTAGAACGTTTAAGATGCAGCGCCTAACGCTCTTTCTGCACATCCCTCATTTATTACTTTTGAAAGTGTTTTGTGATTTTTTGGGGGGAATGTGTTTACAAATCCAATAACAATTCTCATTTAGAGTTGCAAAACACGCAGCCATTTTGAACTGAGACAGATGGCAGCTAAATGAAGTTTAATTAAAGAATGAGTGCTTTGAATCAAATCACTTTAAAAAGTACAGTACACTGAGATTCTGGAGAGGTTGCATAAACAGCATCTGGGCGCTTCTACAAGGAAATACTGGGCGAGGCTTTCCTGTGGGATCGGGGCTGCGTGGGCACACTCAGCAAAGCCAGGAGCAGCCCACTTGCATGGTTTATGTCCTCTGTTCGGAAACACCTCCCAAAGCTCGGGGAGGGGGAGAGGTGGGTGGGAAGACAATCTCCTGGTTTAAAGACTTTGGCCCGGCCAGGGGTAGTCTTCTCTGTTTATCGAACGAGGTCGCCTGAAGGCGCTCCACTGACCCACTTAGTCGCATGCGTCTGTACCATGGGACAGAGAACACATGAGGTGGCCTTGTAGGCCGTGGATCTGGCTCCCCGGCCTGGCCCTTCTCTCCAGTCCCACACCTCTCGGGGCAACCAGTTGGGTGTGCCCATGGGTACTGTCTCAGCCTTGCTGCACTCAAAGAAAGAAGTCACTTCTGGCTCTGGCCACAGATCAGGACAGCCAGCAAAGGTGCGGCCCAGCGAGTATAGACCACCTCCAGGCACCAGCAGCCAGCCTGGGTGGGGTGCAGCGGGGGAGCCAGATGGGCCAGGTCCTGACTCCAACCATGGAAAAAGGGATGTAAGGCTTGGAGAGGGGGGCACACTGACAGTGGCCTCGAACGCTGCACTGTTTGCACTCAGTGCTGTGCATGGAAAAGCTGAGGAGGTTAATCAGGAGACCATGGGGCAGGGGGGAGGGATTGCAGGAGGGCGGAAGGCAAGGTGGCAGCTGCGAGGCTGTTTTAGACCCCTCTTGATTTCATAGGCAGTTTCTGCATTGAGGGTGGTGGCCAGTGCAGGGGATCATCCCCGCCCGGATCCCAGATGGAAAAGGGAGTGAGGGTAAAGTGGAGGGGCCTGGTAGCTCTTGGGGCCACTGCAATGGATGTGGGAGGGACAGGGGACCTGCTGGCAGCTGACTGGGTGAGGATGAAGCCAGCAGCAAGGAACGGGGTGAGTGTGCCAAGCCTGTGGTTTCTAGCATCTTCCCAGGAGGAAGCAGTCTGGATGGGGGGCAGGGCCTGCCCTCCCAGCTCTGGGCGTGGGGCTCACCCAGAGGGCTGGCAGAAGCTCCTGGACGGTTTTGATCATGTACTCAGCTGACCCAGAACTCAGTCCCTCCAGTCCACAGGACTCTTTTGTCCCCTGGCTGGACCTTGAGAGCCAGATCCTGTGGTCTCCCTGACCCCAGGCTCTCCAGCACCCTCGTGCGATTGCTCTCTGCGTCCTGCCAGCTGACTTTGCTATTCTTGCCACCGGGTCCCAACCCCTGCCATCTCTTGCTGTAGCAACTACAGAGCCTTCAGTGTGGTCTTCCCGTTGCTTCCTCCCTCCTGTGATTTTCTGGCAGGCAGGAGCACCCTTCCAAGTGCAGATCTGGGTACTCCTTGTTGTGACTCTCATTTTCCCTCCAGAAGTTGCCTTGCTCATGCCCGTGAGGCCTTCCATGTGGGTGGGTGAGGAAAAGGGCACAGCCTTGCCCCAGAGGGCATGGTCAGGCAAGCAAAACTAAGCACTTACTGCCCACCCTCGGCCCAGCAGGTGCCACCCACCGACTGTCCTCAGGGGCTCTGGCCGAGTCCCACCGACCCCCCCTGACCTGAGCCACTCCCTCTGCTCTAGTGACTGTGTCATGTTCCTGGACCGGACGGGTCCTCAGTTGAGCCTCGCTGCTTCGCAAGAGCCTGGGGTGAGCCTGACCCTGGACTCTCCAGCACCCTCATCCGTGCTGCCCTTTGCTCCCCAATCACATCCTACTGTGGTCCTCCCCTGTCCCACAGTGCCTGACTTCAAGTCTCAGCGTTAAGGCCTTTTCCTGATTTCTGCATTAGGTCAGGTCACCCTAGGGGTCCCTGCCCTCTCTGGTCAGCCGGCAACCTGTCTGTCCCCCGGGAGGGCGGGGCTCAGTAAATACAGTACATGAATGGGCAGCTAGCAGGAGCCAGGCTTGGACAACCGCCAGGCTCGTCTTTGCCTTTCTACTTTGTCTTATCTCTTCTATCGACTTTTCCTCTGCCACCTACAGTGGTCTTCCTGACACCGTGTGATCCTCACTCTGTTCCCTAATACCCAGAGTCCCACCAAAAATCTTCCCCATCCAGGCCCATCCCGAAGCCTTCACCAAGATGCCTTCTAGCTATGGTGATTCCATGGGGTGGCTCCTCCCTCCCTGTCTGGTGCCTGATTACCACACGAGGGACCTTCAGGAAGATCATGGAAAGCCCAGCCACGGCCCAGTGTCAACACAAGTGTCCTGCAAGGCTAGCAGTCATATGGCCAACTGCCCGTTGGTTTGTTTCAGATTTTTATTTTTGCCATAGGGTGCATGCACTTGCTGGAGCAAGTTAGAGAAAGTGAGGAAGCACCCCCAGGGGGCATGTTCACACCACAATCTCTTCTCTTCTACACCTTCATTCTGTCAAGACATTGAGCATGCACTGGTGTTTTTCAAGCCACCGGAGCTGGGATTTGACCTGCAGTTGGCCATGTGTGATATGGTTCCCTTAACCACTGCACGATAGGGCCAGCCCAGGATTTCTAATATTTTTTTGCACCCAAAGAAACGGATACATTGACTCATTTCACCCCCCCCCCATGAACTCTCTGAAGTCCCCTGTACTTAATACTTTAGACTTCATCTGAGTTAGTGGGTCAAGACAGTCTCTCCTACCTTACTGTGGCCTTCCCACCTGCCCCATCTCAGCCTCGAGTAGGAGGGAGGAGGGCTGCCCCCCCCACATCCAGGTCCCTGCGCATGGGCCGTGTGTGGGTGGGGCGGTGGTTGTATGCAGCTATGGCTGTAGCCTCTGCCTGGCAGCTGAAAGCTTATCTGTAGCACTTACGCCTTCTGTGGCTTCTCATCCTGAGCGCACATGCCCTAGCTGGGAAGAAGTGAGCGAGGTCTGCACCCAGACATCAGGGCCCAGTGGTGAGGGATACTGCCCCCACTGTGGCAAGGAAGGAGGACCTTCTCAGGTCACTCGAGCAGGGTTTCCAGACCTCGTCTCCAGGGACAGCTGAGGCCACCTTTCCAAGAGAGAACATGCGACAGTCAAGAGCAAAGGCAACACTTTTTTTTTTTTCTTTTTTTTACTTATTTAAAAAGGCCTTGGTGGCAGGAATATAGTGTAAAAATCATTGGAAAAACTAAAAGTCATTGATACATATCCGAATATACACTTTGTACATAAATTACATTTCCTTTAGTCTTTCTGAGCGAAGTCCTGATTCAGTACTGAGGTCTAGTAATTAAGAGGTCCCGGGAGCTGCACGTTCAGGCCGGCATAGTCCACCATGTACATTGGCCATTGCTGGAGAGAGGGGACAGACGGACCGGGTTAGGACTCCAGGTGATGTGGGAAGGACACCAGAACACTCAACCCTGCTCTCTGAAGGGCTTCCTTGGGTGCTGTGTGTTTTAAAGCCACTGAGGCCCAGTGAGGGGACGTGGGCTGGCCCAGGTCAGCGGAGGTCATAGGGCTGGAGGATTGGACTGCTCACTCCCCGTAACTCGGCCTCATGCCACAAAAGTTGGCCTGTCTCTCTAGGGGGTGGGAGGCGCTGGGACCCTCTGTGGAAATTTCCAGAGCTTAGGCAGGGATTAAGGCAGAGCCTAAACTTTTGGGTTCTCCAGGAAGAGACTGAAGGGGAACAAGGTTCAGAGATGAAGGAATCCTAAAATCATTTCCAAAAGGCTCAGACATTCTCCCATTTGGCCTCAGGATCTGAAAACTCTAAGACAAGAAAGAACTCTCCAATATGTGCAAACACAAGGCTTTCTTCTTGGGTAGGAGAGGACCAAAGCTAGACACGTGGCAGAAGAGACGGAGCGTTGGAGGTGGGCTCTCCTCCCAGCACGGACCAGTGTGAGGCCACAGGCTGCCAGCTCGCCAACCCCCCCCCCCGCCCTCCCCACACCCCCGCCCCCCCCCCCCCCCGCCCTTCACTATACACTGCGGCCCCACCGCACTGGACGCACTCCATGTGTGCAGAGGGGAACCTAACCCCAACCCCTCTGAGAATCTAGGAGTCTGGCTTCTTTTCTACGGCTCCTGCTTTGGCATTGCCGAGGGGCTGGGCAGGTGCCTTCCCTCACCTGGCCTTGACTTGCCCATTTGTTTGGCGAGAATGTAGATTTCCACGGGGTGGGAGGGTTATGAGTCCCCACACAAGGGATAGGCTATTTCGTGAGTAGGACAGGAGGATGTGTCTGCACCCTGGAGGCTGGGGAGCCCCGCTCAGAGCCCAGCGCTTCTCTACCCTGGACCCTACGCCCACATCCCGGTGTAGACAGCCCTGCCTGAGTGAGGGGCAAAGGCCACGGAGAAGAGTGGCCGAGTCCAGATCGATGCAACTTTACCACGAGTGAAATCTGGTTGGTCGATGCCACAGACTCTGGGTTAGAGGACGAGGAGGAGGAAGACGAGGAGGAAGAGGAGACGGAATTTCCTTCCGAGACCCGCTTTCTCTTGCGCTTGGGAATGCTGCTTTCTTTGGCTGGTGGGAGAAAACCATGTCGGCACTGGTGGTACTGGTGCCAGGCCCTTCGGTCTCAGCCTCTCCACCCCCGGAGAAGGCCTTTGTTTCCAGGCTTCAGGTCTCTTCTCAGCAGTCCAAGCTCCTGACCCTCAGCCTCCTTCCTAACCAGGCGGAGCCCATTCCCTCCCTCCACTCCTCCCAGCCCCCAACCCCCCTGCTGCTGACACTATCTTTAGGACCAGGTGTATCACCCCTACAGGCTCAGGCCAGGCTTGGGGCTTCTCTGTACCCTCACCAGAACCCCGAGCTTTTCCTGGGGCCTTGTATCCCCTTGTAGCCTTAAAGGGAAGGGAGACAGCCCTGGAGGCTTGGGCCCTGATCCTTCACTTTGTTTGTTTGTTTGTTTGTTTGTTTGTTTTGTTTTTCAATTTGCTATAGGGTGTGTGTACTTGTGGGAGACATAACGAGGGAAAGTGAGACAGCACTCCCAAGGGAGAATGGCCACACCACAATCCCTTCTACTCCGTTCCTTTTGAGATTTTAGAAACACACACATATGAGGGCCTGGTGTATTTTTCAAGCTGCAGGGTCCAGGACTTGAAACATGTAGCCTATCTTGTGGGAGCCAGCTGCCTTAACCTCCAAACTACCAGCTGGGGGGGGGGGCTTATTTTTTTTTAAAATTGTTTGATTTTGTTTCCAGAGGGTATATGCACTCACCAGAGAGAAAAAAGCACCCCCCAATGAGAGAAATTTTTGCTATAGGGTGTGTGTGCTCACTGGAGAGAGAGCCGGAGAGAGAGTGGGAAATCACCCCCCAGGGGGGATGGCCATGCCACAATCCCTTCTCCTCCATTCTCTTGGGATTTTAGGTATGCATGCACATGCACCTGGCATGAGTTTCAAGCCTCCAGGTCCAAGACTTGAACTGTGGGCAACCATGTAGGAGTCCAGTGCTTTCACCACTACGCCATCTGCTGGCCTGACCCCCATGCTACAACGCTTTTTCCTCCACTTCTTCCTGCAGATTTTGGGCACATATGCTCACGCCCCTCGTATGTTATTTTCAAGGCATTGGGGCTGGATTCTAACCATGGTCAGCCCCATGGGACCCAACTCCCTAAACTACTGTGCTATGGGGCTCACCCCTGGGCCTCCATTTCCTCATGAGTGAAATGTAAATAAGATCTTGCAGGCCTGCTGGGAGGATCCCATGAAATAATGAGCAAAGCACTCAGCACAGCCAATACTGGTACCCAGCAAATACTCAGACATTGAGAACTGGTATTGATATTGCTGCTTAGTCATTGCCAACGTGCATGGCCCTGAGCTGACAGACTGAAGGTATCAGCAAGGGGACAGGCCATGTCTCTGTGGAGGTAAACTCTGGTTTAGAGTCAGAAGTCTTTTAAGTTCAAGTTCCACTGCTGCCACTTACTAGCTGTATGATCCTGGGCAAATTGATTAACCTCTCTAAAGCCAAATGGGGAAAATAGCTTGAGACGCAAAAGAGATTATGCATATATAAAAGCCCGGCACTGGGCAGGACTCAGCAGGTGATTTTGCTGCTCTGGATTAAACTGATGTAAATGTGTAAGACTTATTAGATTCGCAACTGGCCCAGCTTGGGGGCGTCACCAGTAGCAAGCTACAGTGCGGTGTAGGAAGATATGTGGGTGACATGGTTTTGGTCCCCCAGGTCAGCTTGAAAACACGCTCGGTGTAGGTACATGTGCCCAAGATCCTGCTGCGCTAGAGGGGAAAGCACCTACAGATCTGTCCAGAGTTTTCTTGCTCCCGTGTCTGCGCTAACAGAAATAAAACAAACTAAAGATCTGCGACTGTGTTGCAGAAACAGCATCTGGGGCTTGACCACGTGACAGGTAACGTGTGGAAACCTAGCCCAGCCCACCTGAAGCGAGGTCAGGCTGGGCGCACGGGGCATCATCAGGCCAGTTGGTAAAGAAAAACCAAGCCTGGGACCTGTGATGAGGCTAAAAGGTGGCCCCAGAAACTGAAGACACTGGAGTCAGGAGGGGCCCGGGCTCTGAGCCAGGAAGGAATTTTTATTTTGAAGGAGATCCCACATGAAAAAGGCAGAGGTGATGGCTGCCACCCTCTGTCTCAGGCTGACCCAGGGACTGCGGCCACCCTGGGGTCACCATGAGACCCTAAAGATGGCCACAGTGGGGGAAGTGGTGGATGTGACAACATCTACCCTCTGAGCATCTGTCCCAAACTGTCCCCCGAGATCTCCCTGGGGCCTTCTATATTTCAACCTTTGACTGAGCGCAGCTCTCAAACCTGGTCACTCCCAGACCCCACAGTCTTGGTGCCACGCCTGACCCTTGCGATTGGCTTGTGATAGAAAGAGGAGATTCAGGCGGGGCTGCGCAACCCAGGCTATGGAGGTCCAGGTGAGCCTGAACCCATCTGGCTGTCAGGCCCTCTGATCTCAGGCTGGAGTGGGGAGTGCCCCAGTGAACTCTGTCACTGTCACCACTAGGCAGCCACACTGCAGCTTGTGATCTGTGGTGGCCTATGGTCCAGACAGAGGACCCTAATGGCAGGCTCCGGGCAGCCTCTGACTCACTAAGGGGCCTTCCTTGGCAAGTCCTCTCCCTCCCTGGGTGTTTCTCAGCTGTACAAAGGACAGGCCTAAGTCAGGGTTTCTTAATCACGGTGGGTCCATTCCTCCGAGTCCTATCCCACCATTGGGCCTTTGGGCCAAGTGCTCCCCCAGGGGCCTGCTGAGAGGTTCTGTGTGCCCTGTAAAGGCAGGCAGAAATCAGGGGTGGGGGACCCAGCTAGGCCTGGGCAGCACCCAATTGCCTTGCCCTTGTCAATCACATATCACTCCTCCTCTACCCAGGAGGACCCCTACCTGGGCTCCCCTCTCCTGGCTCCAGCCTGCCCTTCATTCTCTCTAGCTGATGTGACACTGGAGAAGGGCCCTCTCCTCTACAGGGCACCTGCAGGCTTCGGGGATCTTCTGGGGAATACTTGGCCTTGTTAATGAAGAGCTCAGGGTGGGAGGGACATTATATTCCCCGAGGTGGTCGGCCATCTATCACATGCCCACCTAGGCCACACCTGCCTGTGCCTTTTCGAAGGCAACAGACTCTGTCCCCACAAGGCAGAGGGTGACCTACTCGGCCTGACTCACCTGGCACCTTGGCATCATTGCAGATTTCTGCAAAAGGTCTGAAAAAGAAAGACATGAGGTGGCAGTTAGAAAGCCATGTCGTCCCCTCCTCCTCACCTGCTCCCTGAGTACGAGCACCATCTCTCATGAGCAGGGGGACAAGGGCCTGGCACTCATCCCCGGCCCTGGTATCCTTGTCCATCAAGCGAGGGTGTCGTCGGACCAAGTGATTAGAAATATGTGCCTACATTTATGAAAGCTCATAGCATTATTAAAAAAAAATTTTTTTTAGATTTTTGCCACAGGGCACATCAATGAGAGAAATTTTTGCTATAGGGTGTGTGTGCTCACTGGAGAGAGAGCCGGAGAGAGAGTGGGAAATCACCCCCCAGGGGGGATGGCCATGCCACAATCCCTTCTCCTCCATTCTCTTGGGATTTTAGGTATGCATGCACATGCACCTGGCATGAGTTTCAAGCCTCCAGGTCCAAGACTTGAACTGTGGGCAACCATGTAGGAGTCCAGTGCTTTCACCACTACGCCATCTGCTGGCCTGACCCCCATGCTACAACGCTTTTTCCTCCACTTCTTCCTGCAGATTTTGGGCACATATGCTCACGCCCCTCGTATGTTATTTTCAAGGCATTGGGGCTGGATTCTAACCATGGTCAGCCCCATGGGACCCAACTCCCTAAACTACTGTGCTATGGGGCTCACCCCTGGGCCTCCATTTCCTCATGAGTGAAATGTAAATAAGATCTTGCAGGCCTGCTGGGAGGATCCCATGAAATAATGAGCAAAGCACTCAGCACAGCCAATACTGGTACCCAGCAAATACTCAGACATTGAGAACTGGTATTGATATTGCTGCTTAGTCATTGCCAACGTGCATGGCCCTGAGCTGACAGACTGAAGGTATCAGCAAGGGGACAGGCCATGTCTCTGTGGAGGTAAACTCTGGTTTAGAGTCAGAAGTCTTTTAAGTTCAAGTTCCACTGCTGCCACTTACTAGCTGTATGATCCTGGGCAAATTGATTAACCTCTCTAAAGCCAAATGGGGAAAATAGCTTGAGACGCAAAAGAGATTATGCATATATAAAAGCCCGGCACTGGGCAGGACTCAGCAGGTGATTTTGCTGCTCTGGATTAAACTGATGTAAATGTGTAAGACTTATTAGATTCGCAACTGGCCCAGCTTGGGGGCGTCACCAGTAGCAAGCTACAGTGCGGTGTAGGAAGATATGTGGGTGACATGGTTTTGGTCCCCCAGGTCAGCTTGAAAACACGCTCGGTGTAGGTACATGTGCCCAAGATCCTGCTGCGCTAGAGGGGAAAGCACCTACAGATCTGTCCAGAGTTTTCTTGCTCCCGTGTCTGCGCTAACAGAAATAAAACAAACTAAAGATCTGCGACTGTGTTGCAGAAACAGCATCTGGGGCTTGACCACGTGACAGGTAACGTGTGGAAACCTAGCCCAGCCCACCTGAAGCGAGGTCAGGCTGGGCGCACGGGGCATCATCAGGCCAGTTGGTAAAGAAAAACCAAGCCTGGGACCTGTGATGAGGCTAAAAGGTGGCCCCAGAAACTGAAGACACTGGAGTCAGGAGGGGCCCGGGCTCTGAGCCAGGAAGGAATTTTTATTTTGAAGGAGATCCCACATGAAAAAGGCAGAGGTGATGGCTGCCACCCTCTGTCTCAGGCTGACCCAGGGACTGCGGCCACCCTGGGGTCACCATGAGACCCTAAAGATGGCCACAGTGGGGGAAGTGGTGGATGTGACAACATCTACCCTCTGAGCATCTGGCCCAAACTGCCCCCCGAGATCTCCCTGGGGCCTTCCATATTTCAACCTTTGACTGAGCGCAGCTCTCAAACCTGGTCACTCCCAGACCCCACAGTCTTGGTGCCACGCCTGACCCTTGCGATTGGCTTGTGATAGAAAGAGGAGATTCAGGCGGGGCTGCGCAACCCAGGCTATGGAGGTCCAGGTGAGCCTGAACCCATCTGGCTGTCAGGCCCTCTGATCTCAGGCTGGAGTGGGGAGTGCCCCAGTGAACTCTGTCACTGTCACCACTAGGCAGCCACACTGCAGCTTGTGATCTGTGGTGGCCTATGGTCCAGACAGAGGACCCTAATGGCAGGCTCCGGGCAGCCTCTGACTCACTAAGGGGCCTTCCTTGGCAAGTCCTCTCCCTCCCTGGGTGTTTCTCAGCTGTACAAAGGACAGGCCTAAGTCAGGGTTTCTTAATCACGGTGGGTCCATTCCTCCGAGTCCTATCCCACCATTGGGCCTTTGGGCCAAGTGCTCCCCCAGGGGCCTGCTGAGAGGTTCTGTGTGCCCTGTAAAGGCAGGCAGAAATCAGGGGTGGGGGACCCAGCTAGGCCTGGGCAGCACCCAATTGCCTTGCCCTTGTCAATCACATATCACTCCTCCTCTACCCAGGAGGACCCCTACCTGGGCTCCCCTCTCCTGGCTCCAGCCTGCCCTTCATTCTCTCTAGCTGATGTGACACTGGAGAAGGGCCCTCTCCTCTACAGGGCACCTGCAGGCTTCGGGGATCTTCTGGGGAATACTTGGCCTTGTTAATGAAGAGCTCAGGGTGGGAGGGACATTATATTCCCCGAGGTGGTCGGCCATCTATCACATGCCCACCTAGGCCACACCTGCCTGTGCCTTTTCGAAGGCAACAGACTCTGTCCCCACAAGGCAGAGGGTGACCTACTCGGCCTGACTCACCTGGCACCTTGGCATCATTGCAGATTTCTGCAAAAGGTCTGAAAAAGAAAGACATGAGGTGGCAGTTAGAAAGCCATGTCGTCCCCTCCTCCTCACCTGCTCCCTGAGTACGAGCACCATCTCTCATGAGCAGGGGGACAAGGGCCTGGCACTCATCCCCGGCCCTGGTATCCTTGTCCATCAAGCGAGGGTGTCGTCGGACCAAGTGATTAGAAATATGTGCCTACATTTATGAAAGCTCATAGCATTATTAAAAAAAAATTTTTTTTAGATTTTTGCCACAGGGCACATGCACTTGCTGGAGAGAGAGCTCGAGAGAAGAAAAGTGAGAAATCACCCCCCAGGGGAATGGTCACACTGGAACCCCTTCTCTTCCATTCTCCTCTCAGGGTTTTGGGGCACACATGCACTTGTGCCTGGTATGAGTTTCAAGCTGCCAGGTCTGGGATCTGAACTACAGTTGGCCAAGTGGAAATCTAGCACCTTAACCATTATGCCACTTGCTGGTTCCAATATCTTTTAATTGAGATTTTATTATCTGTAAGATTATTTATATGAGCCAAAATAAAAAGTAACCCAAGTGTCTGTCAGTAGAGGACGCCGTGGTCCATGTATACTAAGACTGATCGGCTGTTTTTAAAGGAATTAACACGGAAGTGGATGTATTCAAATATGTATAAGGTCAAAGTGAAGACAACCAGACAGGGAATGGCACGATTTATCAATATTTACTATCTGCTGTTAAATGCTGCATGATCTCAGTATCATTTTTCAAAGAGTATCTAACAGGCACATATGGAAAAGTAGGGGGCCAGAAGAGGCGGGGAGGTTGAGGCAGCTGGATCTCAGGTCGACTAACTGCATGGTTTGAGTCCCAAGCCAGTGGCTGGGAAAACATGCCGGGAATGTGCGTGTGTGCGTGTGTGTGTGTGTGTGTCTAAAATCCTAAAAAGAGAATGGAGAAGAAGAACTGTGCCACGGCCATTCCCCTTCCACTTTCCCGCTTTCTCTGGCAAGCACACATGCCCTATAGCCAAAAAAAAGAAAAAAGAAAAAAAAAGAAAGAAAAGAAAAGAAAGAAAAATAAAGAAAAGAAAAAGGGAAGTAGGGCCCAGTGGTGGAGGTGCGGGCAGGACACTGCCGAGAGCTGAAGCCGCGTGGGGTCCGAGCAGCACCCAGTCCCAGGTCCTCGCTGCCTCTCCGTCCTGCCCTGGGCCCCAGGGCACTCACTGGAGCTGGTTGATGATGACCATGCGCACGTGCTCCCGGGCCTTCAGGATCTTCTCCAGTCGATGGATGTCGTATGTGTTAGGGTTCCGGAAAGGGATGTCATCAGGCAGGCCGGTGACCTCAACGGCATCTGGGCTGTCTCGGATCAGTTTGTAAGGGACCAGCACAGGCCGGTTCAGGCCCAGGGCCTCACCTGGAGAGGTCAGAGTGAGGGGAAGACGTCTCCGGTCAGAGGTGAAGCCCTCTTTAGCTGGAATGCGGCGTGTCCCCATCCAGCAGCCATCGCCCCCCAGAGTGAGTGTAACAACCAACACACAGATGGCAGCAGTAGGGACAGAGCAGGTGTGTGCCCAGGGAGTGGCAGGCCAGCTGGGGGCACGGGAGGCCAGGCTGCTGCGGAGGGAGGGGCCTCGCAGGAGGGCTGGACCTCGCCCGGGCACTGACCGTATTTCTCATTGAAGAGCTCCTTCACTTGCTCCCGGAGGATCACCTTCTCCCCCAACCTGTTGGCGTCATCTTCATCTAGGAGAAGACGGGAGCGTGAGGGTCGGGGCCGGCGTGGCCACTGGCTGCTCTTGCTCCCACGCCGCGCCCCTGACTAACCAGGAGCAGTCTCTCCAGGATGGGCCTGCTCCCTGGCCGCCTCAGCTGTCTGTCTGTCCACCCGTCCATTCCACACATTCTGAACAGCACCCCCAGCTCAGGCCAGGCATGGGGCACGGAGGAGGAGGCAGGCCCTCCCCAGGAGCTCACAGACCAGAGCGGGTGTCACCTGGGCTCAGCTCCCCTGCCACAGTGCACGGACAAGGGAGACACAGGGCAAGGGTCAGGGTGCCCACCCCGTCCGCAAGATAAGGAGACCCCCTCAACCCCGAGAAGGGATGTTTAGACGGCCCTCAGAAGGCAGGAATCAGAGATGGATGGGGCAGGGGTGGGAGATGATACTAGGCAGCAGGACTCCAGGGTGAAAGGCAGTACCCTGGCCGTGGCTGAACTGCTAGGTGATTTAAAGGAGGCACGTGTGGAGGGCCCAGCGAGAAACCCGTGGCGGTCCTGCAGACCCAGGCTGTGCCTGGAATGTGGGGCGCCTTCTCCCTGCTGAATGCTCAGGGCAGCTCTTCACGCCCACTCGCTGCTCGGAGGGTGTTGCCCTGGAGGAGGGGTCCTGGGACAGCTTCACAGCAGCCTACGTACGGGCTGTTCCCAGGGCTGGGTTAGGGGAAGGGCAGGTTGCGCCATCAGTCAGTCAGCTCCTGCCCGGGAGGCAGGTGGCTACACTGGCTGGCCCTCAGGCTGGGGTGGAGCTGGAAGCTGGCAGGGAGCCAGGGCAGACAGAGGGGACAGAGCACACAGAATGGGCCTTTGGAACAAAACGACTTCTGTTTCCATCTTGAAAATTCTCAGCAGATCTCACTTCCGTTTAGGAGGCCAGCTCAGCACCGGGAACTGCATCTCCCCGGCAGGGTCTGTGTGTCCTGAGCTGCTCAGACCCTGCCCTGCCAGGGAGAAGGCCCGGTTTCCAGCGTGGGCCCCCCGCAGGGCAGGGAGCTTCATGCTCTGGGCCAAGCACTTCTCTGCCCGCCTTCCCAACCCCCAGCACTCTTTCACCACCTTCCTGTGCACTCCCCCGCCGCTCATGCCCACACTCCGGACTCTGGAATCTGGACATGCTGATCTCTGAGCTCCTGAAGCTTTCTGCAACCAAAGTGCCCATCTCCCGAGTCCCCCAGAGTCACCACATCCCAGACATGGTCCCTCTCCTCTGTCCCCACCTCAGACAGCAAAGCCCCTACTCCACAGCACCAAAGATCCCAAGCTCAGCACCCCAAGGACTATTCTCCCCACGTGCCCAGCACAGCTCTTCCGGATGGTCCTCAGGACCCGGGACACGGCAAGAATCGGCCTGACTGTGCCCCAGGCCCCAGGCATGCAGCTGTGACGGAGTCCTAGGCCCAAGGGCCAGCTTCTAGGGCCTGCAGGGAGGCAGCAGACATTCCACCCATCCCCTTGCCATGGAGGATTCCTCTGGTGGCAAGATTCTCACAGACACCGCAGTGCCCGCACAGCACGGGGACAGGACGGCCTGGACTGTACACCGTGTGCTGGACATTCTGCTAGTTTTCCAGACACGGAGGCGCAGCCAGGCTAAGCAACTTGCCCAAGGTCACACAGCACGAAGCTCCAGGAATGCTCTATCTGACCCAAGAGCCTTGGCACTGAGGCCTGAGTTTCCTGAAGTCTGTTTCTCCATCTGTAGAAAGGGCTGATCTTTAAGGTATTTCCCTCTAAATCTCTTGCTCTGTCCACCACAATCAATGTCCTGTCTTTGCCTCTTCCGGCACTGGGGCAGGGCTGGACTGGTAAGTCTGTACTTGACAAAGCTTGCCGGACTGTGGGGAAGTGGGCGGGCACCTCAAAGACCAGAACCTATAAGCCAAGGTCGCCGTGGCTGCTGGCCGTGGAGTGGCGGGTGTGGCTGTTCCTGCCCCTCCCACTCCCCACTGGCTCCTGCTGCCTGAGGGCACATGGCCAGAGACCAGGACTAGACAAGCCTGCGCCGCACACAGCCCCCCACCTTGGAGGGGTGACGCCAGGCGGCGGGGACAGAACTGAATCAGAACCCGGGGGTGGCGGGCTGAGCGGGGCTGGGTGCTTTTGTCAACACAGGTAAAGTATCCCTAACCCCAACATCCAAAATCCGAAATCCAAAACATTCTGAGGACTGACACGAGGCTGCAAGCGGAGAATTTCACACCTGACCTCCTGTGATGGGCTGCGGTTAAAACTCTACAATCCAAAACTACTTAGAAAGTTATCTTCAGGCTATGTGATCTGGTGTGTATGAAACGAGTTCAGTTTAGACCTGGGTCCCAATCCCAAGTGTGTGTGTGTGTGTGTGAATATCCAAAAAAAAACAAAACCTGGAAAAGAGTTTAGACCTGGGTCCCAATCCCAAGTGTGTGTGTGTGTGAATATTCAAAACAAACAAAACCTGGAAAAATGAAACATCCTGGTCCGAAGCGTTTCAGGTAAGGGACGCTCAACCTGCCGTCCCACGAGCACGCCTTGTCCATGGGACTCTCCCAGCTCAGCCTCAGGGGGTGCCTCCACTTCTCTGTAGCGGCTCTCGGGCCCTCCCATGGGTCCCAATCCCAAGTGTGTGTGTGTGTGAATATTCAAAACAAACAAAACCTGGAAAAATGAAACATCCTGGTCCGAAGCGTTTCAGGTAAGGGACGCTCAACCTGCCGTCCCACGAGCACGCCTTGTCCATGGGACTCTCCCAGCTCAGCCTCAGGGGGTGCCTCCACTTCTCTGTAGCGGCTCTCGGGCCCTCCCAATTCTTCGCTTTTACTTTAGAGGGAAGAGGGTTACATTTTTCTTCAAGGATGAGCTTTCCATTGAAATGGGGCAAGGCAGGCTCAGGGGGTCTGGAGGGAAAGACCCCTGCCCTCTGGGATCTCAGTGCTGCTCTTTGGGCTGTGTGGGGCAGAGACTCGGCCTCTCTAGTGAGAGCCCCTTCCCCCATCCCGAGCCTTGCCCCCAGGCTTGTGTCCCTGCTCCGGGCCTGTCCCGCCCTGGCTCCAGGCAGGGCAAGGGCAAGGAGCCAATCTGAATGGGCTCCAAGGTGCCCAGGCTGGCACTCAACCTCCTGGGGTGACTCATGCTGCTGTCGGGCCCGGGGCAGCTTGCCACGCACCATTAACCCTGAGGGGGAGAGCCAAGACCCCTGCTAACCCCGGGGGCCAGGCCAAGGGGCCTCTTGGTGAGCTGTGGGTGGGTCATGAGATCCCTTTCCTGGCAGAGCCAGACTCCTGCTCGCACCGCCACACCCCCACTGTCCAGAGCTCCCTGAGGACTGCCGTGGGCAGTGGCGGCCTTAGGTTAGGCTGGGGCAGCGCAGCTCCGGCAAGCCCGGCCGCCCCTCAGTGTGGTGTGCTCCGGCTAAACAAGGATCCGGAAACAGCCTCAGAGGGCTACGGAGAACCTCGGGGGCCAGGGGCGGGCATGGCACCGGGGCCCTGGCCACAAAGCCAGTGGTCGTCCAAGACTGCTGGGTTCCCACCCCGGCTCGCGAATCAGCTTGTGACCTTCAGCAAATCCCTTAACCGCTCCATTTCCTTATCTGTGAAGGAGCAACAGGACAGTGACAGCTCAGGGCTGCTGTGAGGACACGACTGTGGTGGCAGAGGACTCAGGACTTACTTCTGGCTGCTCTGAATGCCAGGTCAGCAGACCTATTACCACGGAGCTCCCCTGGGCCTGGGCTGCTGCAGACACTGATGGCCGTGAACGCTTCAGAATGCTCTCCCCTTGGAAATGTCAGTTAGGACTCACCGCAGGGTACGGGGTGTGCATCCTCAATACCCCACATGAACGCCTGCATGCCGTGGAGAGCAACGGGATCCCCAGGGTCAGTGATGGGGAACTTGGCCCTGGCCCAGCAGAGAACAAGGCAATCTTGACTCTAACCCTAATGCTGTGTGGCATTTGGAAAGTCACTCAACCTCTCTGGGCCTCAGTTTCTACATCCTCAACTGGGAATCCTGGCCTGTTAGGAAGATGTGTATCATGTACAAAAAGAAGCCACACAAGTTCAAGGCTGCGTGTGGAGACCCTCCTGGGGATGCTGTCTGTGCCCCTCTCATGAGAGAATGAAATAAACTAAGAGGAAAAAAAAAGTTTAAGGTCTCATGCCATCAAAGCCAAGTTACTGCTGTCAGTACTATGTCTATGCTTCAGTGACACTGTAGTCTAGGAAATGAAATGTTACCCAAGTGACTCTTTCGGATAACTGAAGTTTATTCTCTTAAGTACCCTGGGTTTATTTCATCTATTCTGGGAAGGGTTCTTTCTTTCTTTCTTTCTTTCTTTCTTTCTTTCTTTTTTTTTAATTGTCAGAGGGCATATGCACCTGCTACAGAGAGAAAAAGTACCCTTTAGTGTAGCATGGTTTTGCAATAATCCTTTTATTCCATCCCTCCAACCCATCAGGATTTGGGGCATGCACTCACATATGCTCTGCATGATTTTAAGGCTCCAGGGCCAGGACTTGAACCACAGTCAGCCATGTGGAACCTGGCTCCCTACACACAGACTTAACCACTGTGCTATGGGGCCGGCCCAAGATAGAAGATTTTCTGATATGAATCAAGCACCCTTTTCTCATTAAACACACAGGGTAGGAGGGGTTCAGCTGCCCTCATGACCTAACCCCAAAGTGCCATACAGAAAGTGCTGCAGAAGCTGTCTCTGCAGCTGGCCCGCTACCCGCTGCCCCTGGGCAGAGACACCCTGACTCATGAACAGGCTGGTCCCGCTGGCCTTTCTCACGCCTCCTCCTGCTCATTCCAGTTTTTCGGTCTCCTGTCTCTTGCTAAGGCAGGGGCCCTGCCTGCCCCAGCAGCCCTGTCTTGTTGATTCTAATCTGCTGTCTGTTAGCCCGAGGATTAACTGAATTTTGCCTGCGGGGAAGAAGACACCAAGCTTATTAAATCATTGCCAGGCTATGTACACAATTT